ACTCTTCTGTAATGATTCAGTGATTCTCCTTAGCCTTTCTAAAAGGAGCTTATTTTCCCATTCTGTGTTTTTACTATGTTTTGCTTTTCTCTCTTATCAATTCACAATTTTTATTTCTCTAATTTAACTTTCACTGCTTTGTCTTTGCCCCACCATGGGAATGATTCAGTTCTGAATCACATTCATTCTCCTCAACATCTCTATGGTTTTATTTGCTGATTTTCCTTTCCAGTTAATCTAATCTAGTTCTTTGTCTCCAAGTTGAGATGTTCGAACTTCAAATGCAGTTTGAGGCTCCTCTTTCAGAATATTTTACCTGCTTTCTGAGCTGGTCTTCTGTTCAGATTCCTCTCACAATTTTGTTTTGCCTCAAACAGCAGATAAATCTGCTCCTCTTTAGTGATGACATCGTCAGCATCAACCTGTCAGTTTGGAGAAATGAAAAACACTATCAAAAAGCAAATTTCACACTATCCCACTGACCCCTGCCCTCTGACCCTAGGTGTGACTTTTTAACATTCTACCTCTGGCTTGATTCCTTGTCCCACTTTCTCTCATTTTGATCCTTGCTTGCCAGTCACTAGCCCTGACTTCTTTCTCCTGGAACTTTCATCCCAACCCCTTAAATGCTTCTCTGCCCCCAGTCTCTCATTCTTCCCCCTGTCCATGTCTGTAATGGACAGGAATACAATTCCTGCTAGTATGCCCAGTTATAGAACAGATTCCAGACTTGATGAACCTGCAAACTTTAAGACAGCTATTGATATTACATTGTTTGATGTTCTGTATAAAGGTAACCACCTTACCTTCAGTCACTCTGTCCATGTGATGGAGGCAGCATAGTGTGCTCAGTCACAAAAATTGCTAATCACACGACACCAGGCTTTAGTCCAACGGTTTATTTGAAATCACAAGCTTTCGCAGCATAGTCCCTTTGTCAGTTGAAGTGAGAGAGAAGCACACAGACATAGAATTTATAGGCAGGGAGATCAAGGGAAAAGAGAGCAAACAATCATGCAAATGGTGTGAGTTGAGGTCAAATAATAAGTCTCTGCAGATGATCGAAAGTGTCAAATGGTGTGAGTAAAGTGTCAACAGCTCAATAACAACCAAAGGGATGATTTATAGCCTAATTAAATGAAGCAGAGAGATAATTACAAAAAATTTAAAGTAAGATGGTGCTGGAGACAAACCAAATGGCTGGAATAACATGCTAGGTATGAGTCACATTCTGAGGGTCTAACCAAAGTAATAAGAAATCAAAAACTGCACAATCTTTGGGTAAGCATCCTCCAAGGCAGCCTTTGAGATACACAATAACGCAGAATCGCCGAGCAAAAACTTATAGCCAAGTTCTGTACCCATGAAGACGGCCTCAACCGTGATCTTGCGTTCATGTTGCACTACAAGTAACCTCACCACACTGTTCTGTATCTGTAAAATCTTCCTTACTGTCCTGTTTTAACACCATCACCTGGATAACTTGTTATGCTCTCTCTACCTTAATTAGTTTGTACAGTTTTGCAGTTTTGGATTACTTATTACTTTGGTTACACCCTTGGCATGCGAGTCTTAAAATTCCCATGTTATTCCAGTTATTTGGTTTGTCTCCGGCACCATCTTATTTTAAATTTTTTGTAATTAGCTCTCTGCCTCATTTAATTGGACTATAAATCATCCCTTTGGTGGTTATTGAGCTGTTGACACTTTACTCACACTGTCTGCCGCTTTTGATCACCCACACAGACTTATTATTGAACACTCCACTCACACTATTTGTGTGATCGTTCGATCTTTGGTTGTCTCTGCCCTTGATCTCTCTGCCTATTAATTCTGTGTCTGCGTGCTTCTCTCTCACTTCAGCTGACAAAGGGGCTATGCTCTGAAAACTTGTGATTTCAAATAAACCGGTTGGACTAAAGCTTGGTATGGTGTGCCTTCTGACTTTGTCCACCCCAGTCCAACACTGGCACCTCCACATCACAAACATTGCTGCAGGAACTCGGCAAGAATAGAAGCATCTGTGGAGAGAAAGCCGAGTTAACGTTATGAGCCCAATGACCCTTCCTCTGGACCTGTTCATTGGACTTGAAATGTTAACTCTGTTTCTTTCTTCACAGGTACAGTCATACCTGCTGTGTTTCTCCAGCAACTTCTGTTTTTGTTTCAGTTTTCCAACATCCACAATTCTTTTGTTTTCTTTTAGTGCGCGTAGTCAGTTACATAGCAGTACGTCACATCATTAAACATAAATCCCAGACTATGGATACAAGCCTGTGATATTACAGCCATATAAATAGTTCTCGTGATTAATAAACTTCAAAACATTGGTCTTAACAAGAACCTGAATGGGATATACATCATGCAGACTAATATAATGATGCCCACATATTGCATCACCCACATCCCAAAGAATATTACAAACACAAATCAGACCTTTGCCTCTGTTACTGTCTCAAATTTTAACTCCTGGTGAGCATTGTGCTGATCAAGACTGGCCCACGCTCAATTGCAGGCTGTCACTATGGACCAACTTTATTTATACCTTCCCAACAGACAGAGCAGCAGAGAAGACAGTGTAACAACATGCCTAGATCCTACAATATTCTTCTCCATTTAAAAATAAAGAAACAGTTTATACAAGTTGGTACATACACATAATAGCACAGAATACAACATGGCTAAAGCGTGAACAATAATACCTGGAATTTAGCAGGTTGGGTTTCATATTTGTGTTGATACAATCACAACTAAGACAGTTATGAACAATGGTAGGTAATTTGCACATAAAATAAAACAATGTTTCCTCAACATCAGAGATAGTAGGAACTGCAGATGCTGGAGAATCTGAGATAACAAGGTGTAGAGCTGGATGAACACAGCAGGTCAAGCAGCATCAGAGGAGCAGGAAAGCTGACGTTT